GCCCCTACTTTAGTAGTGTTAGGAAGAGATGAGAAATCGCTTTTTGGTAGCATGTAGTATTTTACTATATGGCTCTCCATTTTCCAAAGGCAAATGTTCCCACATCCTTAGAATAAAAGCACTAAATTTAGTGAGTCACATTTTTTTCTTATATACAGTTCAGAGGTTATTCAAAGACAGATTTTCTCCAATCAATTTGTTCAAGCACATTAGTGCTCAGTAACAAATACTTGGTGCCTGACTGATCTTGGGGAGGCAAGATTTTCTGTGAAGTTCTAACAGTAGATGTCCTTCTTAAAGAAACTATAGGTTCACTTGCACATGTGTATTCTGTAGTCTCTTCCCAGTTAATTCTCTTTTCCTCCTAAATGAGTACTGCACCAGGCTGCTGGCTTTTCCTTCTTTCTCTTATTCTTTCTTTAAAAAAAAAAAATTTTTAATCCTAATACAAGGATATGTTTATTGGTTTGTGGGGCTGGGTGGGGAGAAGGAGGAAGAGAGAGAGAGAAACATTGATTTGAGAGAAAAACATCGATCAGTTGCCTCCCATACACGCCTGACCGGGGATCAAACCCACAACCCAGGCATGTGCCCTGACCAGAGATTGAACCCACAACCCTTTGGTGTACAGGACAATGCTCCAACCATCTCAGCCACCTGGTCAGGGCTCTTAATTACTTCCTTTCTTCCTATAATAAATATTACTTACTAAATGTCTACTATGTGCTAAATACTAAGGACGTAAGTGAATGAGCAAGTTGCTTAATTTATGGAGTATAGAGATGTAGAGAATAAACTGGGTCTTCACTGAGAGATCCACGTAACAATGATTGATCAGAGCAATTCATGATCATTTTGCTTAGTAAAAGTATCTCTGCTCCATTTTTCTCATAGATTCATCAGGGGCATAGAATCCCAAGAAAACTGAGAAATCTTTAAATGTTACAAAAAATAAAAAAATCAGGAAGCATTAATCTAAGACGTAATAGCCCCACCTGAAAACAGTAGGTTTCAAAATACCTTATTTTCTGTTTCACATAAGATATAATTTTCACCAATACTTTCAACCTTGTAATTTTCATATAATTCTAAACTACAAATCATTCTATGGACTTTCAAGTTTCTTTCTATCATGCACATGTAATAGTATATAAAATTGTCTCTTTGAGGCAAAATCTTAGGCTTTTAAACAGAACTTTTTTAACTGTCTCATTCACTCAACAAATATTATTTATTGAATTCCTCATCCAGAAACTAGGTCAAGTCATGAAAACACATAGTTCCCGTCCCCAAGGAGTTTTTAAAATCATTGACATTTAATCTTTTCACAGCTTTTGAAACATTTAGTATATCATAGCAGAAAGAATAAAGACTTTAGAAGTAGACAGAGTGAGGTTGGAGTCCTGGCTTGATTAAGGGATAAAGGTAAGCAAGTTACTTATTCCCTCTGAGCACCGATCTCTTCCTCTGTAAAATGAGGATAATATCATCTACCATGAAGGGTTGTTGTAAGTATAATTGAAATGACTAGTGGAATGCTTGACCTAGATGGAATACTTTATATTATTTTTCAGTTCTAAACTAACACTGCAAAAACTCGGACCATATATAGTAATAGATTATAATAATAGAACATCCTAACTTTCAAAAAATGCTATCTGAATTACATTATATGCAGACAGGCATGTAAGAAGTGTTTTATATCATCTTACAAATATCTAATGTATTTCTAATTACTAACAAAAAAGTCAGAATCCATCTAGAAGAAATAACCTTCCAATAAGTCATATGTACAACATATTAAAGATCCTCCTAAATAAGTGTTTCATATCAAACATACATGGTCTAGTAGCTGTTTAGAACTTCCACAGACTCAACTTATATCAATCAAGGAACTACTTCTTAAGACTAGACGCCTTAAGGCTAGAGTTCCTAGTCATTAACTTCAGAGGCTCAGCAGCTTCCCTTGAGTTCCAAGAATTGAGACTACCCTTTTCTGACAAGGAACAGAATCTTCGAAAGCTTTTTAGAGCAACAGTTTATAATTTATTAAAGATACCTGTAAAAATACTTTCCTGTAATAGAAATATTTTAATGCTCTGAAAGAATTGATATGCCTCCCAAACCAAATTAGAATTAGAATTTTGGGGTAAGAAGGGACCTTAAGCTCCCTGCTTCCCATGCTACCCCAACAATTTAACAAAGAGGAACTTGAGGCCAAGAGAGTGAGGGAGGAATTTCCCCAAGACACATGGCAGCCCAATGGCAGAGGCTGAAGTACAGAGAATTCAAGGAATTGGACTTCTAGCCCCGTGATCTGTTCAAAAGAGGAGGTTTCCAGTTCTACTGAAATAAGGGAATGATTTATGTGTACCCAGCTAGGACAAAAAGCTCTGAAATATGTTTCCAGTATTACCTAGTGGACTGTCAATAAATAAACTTTTAACCAATGTAAAGAAAATCATGGGGACATTCTTCTAAAAACAAAATAAGCATTACCTGCTTTTCTGAATTTGAGGGACATTAAAAATTGCTGTGACTGCTTCTAAGTCACTTTTTGAAAAAAGGTTCTAAAACAAAACAAGCAAGCAAATCAACAAACTTAAGAGTTGGGAGAATGGATGATTTATATGCCACCGAAGGCAGGGATCCTTTCTAGAACATTCTGACATTTGACCAACCAGCTGTTTCAATGTTTTCAGGGATAAGGCACATTGTCAAAGAAGCACAGGTCATCACTGTTATTATTCAACTTAGTTACAAAGGTAATTCCAAATGAACCCAAGCCCGCCTCGCTGCAGACCCATGAGAACCAGCTCTGCTCTTTGGAACAATACTGAATTAGAATTTTTTTTTTTTTTGTATTTTATGTTCAGCTTTTCATATATTTAGAACTAGCAATTAGTCTAGCAGTCCCCTTTTCTCTTCTTGATAAATATAACTACAACACTTAAAAGTACTTGGAAATAGCTCATACAAGTCATATTCAGCTCCACTCCAACAAAGGTTTATCAGGTCTCAGGCACCGTGCTAGGTTCTGGGAGTACAACGGGAAAAGCTCCCTGCAGGAGCTTACAATATCGTGGGGCAGAAAAACATATACAGAGACTACTTTAATCTAGTAACAGCAAGTGCTAAAATAGAGTCATGTTCAATAATAGTTACATGTTAAGATGAGAGACAAAGGAAGGCATCAGAGTGAAGAATCCAGGAATACAATGGCAAGCATGTGCCAGGGTCACCTATTTGGATCCAAATCCCTGGGCTGTAAATTCTGCAAAAATGCTAAACAATAGCTTAACAAAATCTAAACAAAATGTGATGGTGCTTAGTAATCACATGGAGAGGGTAGTAAGGGATTGAAAATAGCAAAAAATGCACTCATATTACAGACAAGTGCACAGCTAAGCAGTACATATTTGCCAAAATAAAATAAATCATTCCAAAGAAGATCTTAAAATCAATGGCATTAGGTAGATTCCTGAAGGAAGAGACTAGTTTTACTGAATTCTAGTCAAAGAGTGAAGTATTCTTTGTTAGAAGGAAATTATTTTTATGGCATCCAACATTTTCATTCAATAACATGTGTTTCCATGAAAATTGAAAGAATTAAAACATACATGTTCAGGATTTCCAAAACAATGGCAACTACAATTTATGGTTGGAATGTTAACTTTTTCCTTGACCAAGAAACCCATTCAAGATAGAATTCAGTTGAATAATAAAGTGAAATAGTTCAGATCGTGAGTATCAGAATGGAACTTCGTTAAAGCGGTCATCTTTAAGTCATTTTGAACTGTTACATGTAAGAAGTAAAAATAAAATTCTCTCTGACCATACAATCTTGTGTTAAGACCCAAAGTGCATGTCAACCTTCTCTGTGCATATCCCTTTAAACCAGCAATCCTCAACCTTTCCCATCTCATGGCACACATAAACGAATGCCTAAAATTCTGCAGCACAACAAAAAATATACTTTTTGTCAATCTGACAAAAAAAAAAATAGGTGTAAGTTTGATTAATTCACACTGGACAGCTATTGCTGTGTTGACTACTGTCATTTTATTTGACAATCTAAGAGAAAAGAGGTCAGTGCCCCTGAGGAATATAGGCAGGTATTGCATGTTTTTTTCTAAATTTCTTTTTTATTTTATTGTATTGTTTTCCAGTACCATTTATCCGCCCATACCTTCTTCTACCTCCACTCCAACCCCTCCCCCATTCAACACCACATTGCCGTCCATTTCCATGAGTTCTTTCTCTTTTCTTTTTTGTTCACCTCCCACCTCCCCACCCTGCTCCAGAGCTGTCAGCCTGCTCTCTATCTGTGAGTCTGACTCTATTTTGCTTTCTACTTCAGTTTGTTCATTAGATTCCACCTATGAGTGAAGTCATATCTTTCTCTGGCTTATTTCACTTATAATTAACACTAACTTTTGTTTCTATATGGTTCTTGATATTGGCATCATTTTTTTAATGGGAACAAGATAACAGATAAATGTGACCAATGTTTGTCTCCAGTATACTTTTTAAACCACTTGGTCATTTTAAATGTCTTTGCTACAGGAGGACATTGCTTGCCTACACCTGGTTGTTCACAGCTCATGGAACAGCGTTCCGACCAACGCAGGACCCACCAGTGGAGGCAATTAGGATAAACGTAGAGGGGAAACATTTTAGAATCACCTGGAGAGTTTTTCTAAACAGTGCCTCACCACTTCCACAACTACAGCAGCAAACGCTTTAGAGGCATGTTACAGACCTAAAGGCAGGACTGAAATCAGGGTTTTACCTGGAACTGATTTAGAAGCTATTGTCTAGATGGGCTGCTAAAAAAATCTACAAAAAAAGAGTAAGGAGGACAACACAGAGGGCTTCTGAAGATACCTATGTCTACAGAGGTTCAGGTTCCCAGCCAGCCCTGTGGTAGGGCAAGAAACCAAAAGAGGAAGTCATTTCCATCACATCTGTGCATAAGCAGTACACTTTCAATTGCTTACCTCCAATATTCTGAATTATTATGGTGCCTGCCACTACCACCTATAAAAGAACAAATGTATTTAGAGGATGAAAAGGGAAATAATATAAAAGGATCAATATTTTATTAAAATCCAATAACTATTACTAAAAAATAGATGCAGAAATCGAGAGAAGAGAAATTGGAAAATTTTGCCAGCCATTTGTAATATATAACACTTACAATCATCACATAAAAAGCTTTTTTTTTTAATAGTTCCATGGTTACTATAAAGAATACTTTTGAAAGTTTTCTTGGCAGTCATTTTTAAACAGTTAAAAGTGTTAAAAAGCTAGTAATCAGTGGTTATCAAAGGACCAAAAAAGTTGAAATTGAATCTACCTGGTCTGTCTCCCATTGTTACTGGTTTACCACACCACTTTAGCAGGTAGACGGCGGCAGCCTGAGGCACGCCGCGCCCCGTGCCACACTGCACCAAAGGGCGTGACGGTCTTCTGAGTATATGAGCGTGGCCTACAGCAAGGCTTTCAACATCCTTTTCACAGGGAATCATAATCTAAAGTAGAAAACTTGAGAGCCCACATATTCTCAAATCTGAAAATTTAGCAAAGTTTCAAACTCAGTAAAACTCAGATGCAGTGGGCTGAGTGTGAGGGTAGGAGGTTGTAAAACTGCAGTACAGAACCTGTGAACGCCTCCCCTTTCAAAATGCAGCAGCTGCTACTCAGCTCTGGTCAGTTGCTGGCAGATGAGAATGTTGATCAAATGCAGCTAGAACTTCTGCTTTTCAAAATAAAGTCAGAAATTGAATTCTTTCAAAATTTCCTAACTCTTAGTTGGCAATCAGTTAAAAATAAAAAGGACTTGAACCAACCAAAATATGCTTGAGGACTAAGTTCAGCCTGCAGGCTGCTAGCTTGTGAACTTTGATGAGATTCTTGGGAAACTCAAAAGAGCACTTTATCTATCCTTGGTGATCAGATGGACTCAGAGGAAATAAACACCCTGCTTCCACTTGGGACTTGCAATCACTCAAATCTTGGTGGGTTTGTACCCCCAGTGTATATCTGGAGCTGACTAGCTGTCTAGGGCCTTTCAGACCTACCTGTACTACAATTCCATCAGCGGCACAGCATCTGCCTATCCTGGAAGCAATCTACGTTACTGAGACCTACAGGCCTTGGAGTCTGCAGAGGACTAATGACAGGAAAATTTGGAGTTATGTCTTTGAAGATGTGGTAATTGCCACTATAACATTTTCCAGGAAAAAAACAAACTTTGCATATCAACCCATTTAAAAACTAGTTCCCAGACCCACCTTGTGTGCTTAGTGGATTGAGCACCAGCTGGCGAACAGAAGGGTCGCGGGTCCCATTCCTGGTCAGGGCACATGCCTAGGTTGTAGGCCAGGTCCCCAGTGGGGAGTGTGTAAGAGGTAACCAATCAGTGTTTCTCTCCCTCTCTTTCTCCCTCCCTTTCCTTCCTTTTCCTCTCTCTAAAAATAAATAAATAAAATCTTTAAAAATAATAACATAAAAATTAGTTCCAAAATTCAGTTATTTGTGAAAAGACAATTTTGAATTTTTGTATACTGTCATTCCTAGGCAATTGATGCCTATTGTCAGTCATACATGAAAATTGGATTTATTTTCTACTAATATATTGCAAAAAGCAATAATGACAACTTACTGATGATTATTTTTCCATTTTCTTGGGGGGACAGAAATTAAGCATTTAAGATCTAGAAAGTCTGTCTGTCTGTCTGTGTATCTGCCTTCAGTGTCTACCATAGTGCATGACTATGGTACTTGCTCAATAAATATTTGTTTAGTGAGTAAATAAATCAATTTACAGACAATTTTTAAAATCTCCCTTAAAATGTTGAAAAGACATTTCAAAAATATTTCTTTAATCCTCAAAACAATGTTATCCTATCACATGTCATATCTGGAAAGAAGGAAGTAGGAAAGTTTCAACCCGATTGCAAAAATATAGAGGGAATATTTAAAAAGCAAACAACTCCTTATTTAGAATAGCCTCTGTCTGTGTACTTGCCTACTAAATACCAGGTACATACATTAAAATGATAATGCAACTTTTCTAGACTTTCAGGAAAGAGGATTCTCAACAATCCATGCTCCTCTTTTAGACCCTGCTGCTATACAAGGAATTCAGGAAATACTAATGTCAAATAACAGTGATGATACCTGAAGTCATGTTATAGAACATATTACATTAATTGTGGAGTGTTCTTATGTAAGTAACATTCTTTTCTTCCTTGGTTAAGCTGAATGCAGGAAATAGATCATGACTCTACTAAACATTCTGATCTTTAGGAAAGAGAAATTATTACCAGGGATATTAATGAAACCCTTTACTCTCAAGTAACTAATCTCCATTTTGCTCAAATTTCAGATTATTAAGAAAAGGTCCAAACCAGGAGGCTACATAGTATAATTAAAATACTCCCTTTTGTACTTTAACAAATAAATTAATTTGAATGTAAATACAGGTTTTTTCCCCTATTACATAGCTATATCATTTTCCTTTCAGGCTTACTTCTTAGAAATTAGTTTAACCATATACAAATACAGTATCCTTTTAGATTAAAAACAAAATAAACAAGCAAAAAACATAACAGATTTATAAATAAAAAGGCCTACAAGGAACCAACATAAAAATAGGTTTTAGAAGTATGATAGCTTTTCAGAAACAAACAAAAAAGTACTATCGCTCTAACAATATTTAAGTCCTGATTACCTGTGGAAGAAGACCATATTTCCTTTACCTTTTAAATTAGTTTAGTATGCCTATCACAAATGAATGCCCAACAAATATTGCTGTTACTTCTCTTATTCTGAGGAGGAAATGCAGATTTGAAGTCTAGAGTCTTTTAAGTAACTACGGGCAAATAGCGCTGCCCCCGCCCCCCCCCCCCCCCCATTTTGTTGGGCTTTAATTTTGTCACCTATAAGATGGGATAGCTAGATAACCTTTCAGCACTGTTTATCTCTTAACTGGTATTATCTTCTAATCATCAGTTTTGTTAGTCATGCTGTCTATATGCTCCTTTTTCTTTTAAAGATTTTATTTATTTTTAGATAGGGGAAGGGAGGGAGAAAGAGAAGGAGAGAAACATCAATGTGTGGTTGACCCTCAAGCACCCCTATTGGGGACCTGGTCCGCAACACAGGCATGTGACCTGACTGAGAGTCGAACCAGCAACCCTTCACTTCGCAGTCCAGCGCTCAATCCACTGAACCACACCAGCCAGACCTAATTCTATGCTTCTTGATTCTGTCTTTATGAGGATTTACTCAGAGAATATAGTAAAAGTTAATAACAAAAACTTTATAAAGTCCATTGTTACCATTTTAAAATTATCCAAATCATCTCTCTCCTCCATTAGGGTGAAAAATACTAAGAAATTTAAGTGTTCAATTAAGTTTATTGATGCATTCTTAGGAAGGACATGGAAAGATTCCTCTTTCACTCCCTGTTTCCATCACTCTGCCTTTCGTTTAGTTTCCTTTTAGTCCTCTAATTTCTTCTTCTTACATATACTTGTCTCTTTTAACTAGAAGCAGAGGGAAAATATGCCTCTCTGGAATTTGGACATAGCTAGGAGGGGAAAAAATTACCTTCCCAGGTAATCCAAATGCAAAGAGTCCAAGATCTTCATAAGATGTCACAGCTGTTAAGAGAAATTACAATTTTTTATTTGTACACAAAACCATTTGTGTGCCAAGTCTTAAAGGGAAGACAGTTATTCCACTTCTATCTTACAGCTATCGGATGGTCTCACTAAATTTAAAGCAGAAGTAACCACTTTGGGGGAAGTTTTTGAAGACTTATGGTCTATAAGGACAGGGTCCCCTTAGAACAGGCAGAGCTTAGCAAATCCCAAGGTTGTCTAACACCTACCCAGGCTGCATTAGCCTAAATGGAACAATTACTCAAGAACAATGCCCCTTCCCGCTAAATAGTGCTTGCCTACTACACTGTCTAAATGTAAGTTTTTGTTGGCAAGTTTCTGAAAACTGCATATGCAAATAAAGCTAGATAAACTATGAAAGTTGTATCATTCTTTCAGAAACATTCACTTTTCCAGCTATCTAGGATAATAATAATGTGTTCATGATAGAACATACACCCTTATCCCATAATTAATAGGGTACACATTTTTTTTTCATCATATGAATAGGAAATTACATTTCCATTTCATATGTTCAGGAAGTGTGGTCAGAGCAAAAATGAAAATTAAATGGCTCATAAAAAACTTAAATTTTTCCTTACCCCATATAGCTTCATGTTCCAACTACTGACACCACGGGTTAAAATAAGAAAAGTAAAAACATTTGTATAATCCTATAGTTTGGAAAGTGCTTAACCTTACAGTCCTTAAACTAAAAAGAAGCAGACTAGCAGATGCTAAGGCTTGGTATAGCAACACACATCTCATATTGAGTCAAAGGTATGGCTCATCATTTCTTTAAGCAAGTTTTAATATATCCTCTCAGAGGAATATATGGGTTTTCTTTAAACTGCCACTATACTAACAAAAAACCTGTATTTTCATAAAGACTTCCAGGTATGTAAAAATAAGCACTTTAAAACCCGTGTATAGTGGAAATGCAGATTGGTGCAGCCACTGTGGAAAGCAGTATGTAGTTACCTCAAAACATTAAAAATGGAACTGCCTTTTAACTCAGTGATTCCACTTCTGGGAATATATCCAAAGAACCCTGAAATACTAATTCAAAAGAATGAATGTGCCCCTATGCTCACTGCAATGTTATTTACAATAGCCTAGATTTGGAAGCAACCCAAGTGTCCATCAATAGATGAGTGGATAAAAATGCTGTAGTACTCTTACACAATGAAATCCTACTTGGCTGTAAAAAAGAAGGAAATCTTACCCCTTGCAACAACATAGATGGCCCTGGAGAACATTATGCTAAGTGAAATAAGCCAGTCAGAGAAAGACAAGTAACATATAATCTCACTCATATAAGTAAGCTAATGAACCAAATAAACTAAAAAACAAAATAGAAACGGACTCATAGGTAGAGACAGACTGACAGATGTCAGAGGGGAGGGGGTTGTGAGACTGGGGCATAAAGGCGAAGGGATTAAGGGAAAAAGAACCCTCACAGACGCAGATAACAGCATGGCGATTACCAGAGGGGAGGCAGAAGAGGGTATGGGGGGACAAATGGGGGTGGAAGGAAACTTGACTTGGGGTGGTGAACACACAATACAATATACCAATGATGAGTTATAGAATTTTACTCCTGAAATCTATATAATTTTATTAACCAATGTCACCCCAAGAAATTCAATAAAAAAGAAAACAGTGAAATGCTGAAAAATAAGTTTTAATAATCAACAACAAAAATATTAACTTTTCTTGACAAATATACATTTAAAAGTTTAACTTTGCTAGAAGAGTTGATGAAAGAATTTACAAAATTTTTGTATGATACAGCTATTCACATACTACTAAACACAATGAACAAGAAACAATTTAGTTTTGAATTTGGGGTGTATAATTTGATTTTAAGCATGAAACTTTATGCTTTAACAAGGAAAGACTTCAATAATAATCTACAGAGGTAGATTTTAAGTATACAGTTAATCCTTGATCAACACAGGGGTGGGGGCACCAACTCCCAGGCAGTTAAAACTCTGGGTGTAACTTTCTTTTTTAAGATTTATTTAGTTTTAGAAAGAGGGGAAGGGAGGGAGAGAGAGGGGGAGAGAAACATTGATCAGTTGCTTCTCGCATATCCCCAACTATGGACCTGGCCACAACCCAGACATATGCCCTGACTGGGAATCGAACCAGCAACCTTTTGGTTCAGAGGCTGGTACTCAATCCACTGAGCTACACCAGCCAAGGCTCTCTATATAACTTTTGGCTCCCCAAAACCTTAACTGCTAATATCCTACTGTTAACTAGAAGCCTTACTGATAACAAAAGTTGGGTTTTTGTATACATATTATATACTGTATTCTTATAATAAAGCTAAAGAAAAAATAATAAGAAAATCCTAAGAATACATTTACAGTACTGTAGTGAATTTATTAATATGTAAATTCATGTCATCTGTTTACAAGATGAATTGTCTTTAAGTATCTACATCAATATTGTCTTATATGATACAAAAGACTGTAGTTGTTACATGTATTATTAGCACTAGACATCAAAATGAAAAGATAATGTGAAAAAGAAATTCATATTTATTCACACATATAACAATTCATGCATTCATCATGAAGAAGTAGCTATATGATTACTTAAGAGGAGCCTAGTGTAAGTGATACAATTGCTTCACAGTAGTAAGACAATCTCCAAAAACTTTCCCAATATATTTGTTGGAAAAAAAAAATCTGTGTAAAAATGGACCCACACAGTTCAAACCTGAATTGTTTCAGGGTCAACAGTATTTTAGCACATAAAATTTTAAAAAATTACAAAACCAAGAAATGAAATTTTTTTCATCCTATGGGAAACACTGATATTCTTTTATATAAAATGCACATATTTTCATAAGTATGTTATCACAAAAATTAGTAGTTATTTTAATCAATAAAGCTTTACTAGTTTAATATTTCTAAACACAACTGAGTGTTAATGTTATCTTGGAGCACAATTCCTTATATTTAACATTCTAAAGCCTTGTTTTTTATTTACATATATATTTAAAAATCAGAAAATTCTGTAAATGTTAGCTTCTATCTAATTTGCCATCAGAAGCTAATTTCGTTATATATTGTGTGTATCTGAACCAAGTCTCCAAAAGTCTCTGATCTGTCACTATGAGGCATGAGATGAAAGAAACATCATTGTTCATTATTAACATCCCTCTTTTATATTATAGTTAAATGTGCCTGTCCCGTCTGAAGTAAAACTTTCCTTCCAAAAATTTAAAGCAAGGAGACTTCAGGAATATATATATATGAGAGAGACAAGGTCTGTCCAGAAAGTATCCAGCCATGTACTATGAAAAATAGAAGCATTTATTGAAGAAGATACAAGAAACACTGTACATAGGACAATAATGCCTCAGTCCCCTTCAGGGAAAGCAACTTGGGACCTCACACAGTTCTCCTAATCGCCGTCAGCTGCCCCTTTGTTTTCCTGAATCTCACCAGTGGTCTGAAATCTCTTCCCCTTCAAAGGTGATTTCACTTTTGGGAAAAGCCAGAAGTCACAGGGTGCCAATTGTGGGCTGTAGCGGGACTGAGTCACCTGGGTGATTTGATGTTTCATCAAAAAACTCTGCACGGGACATGATGCATGAACGGGAGTGCTGTCATGAGGAACCTCCCAGTCACCAGTGGCCCATAGCTGTGGCCTTCTGAATCATCCAAGTAGTTTCCATGGAGGAATGTTCAAGTTTAATGTAAAATCTGATGTAGATTCATTGCTCTACTCGCCTAGTCATTTTGAATGTGATGGCCACACAGTACACAGGCTCTCTCAACAGTATCTACTGCCCCATGCTCACTCAATGGCATCTACCACCCTCACTGACTAGTACAGTGAAGTTGTCATTGTTTATGCATGCGCATCCCAGTCCACTCTCCTTGCCTGCCAGGGCACATCGATGTTGCGCAAACTGTTCCCATTGTATTAACAATGGTTGCACTTTTTCCAGATAGACATCGCATATCAAATAACCTGCTTTTATTTTTAATTTAATTTAATTTATTTTTCATTGAATTATAGTTGACACACAACATTATATTAGTTTCAGGTATACAATGCAGTGATTCAATATTTTTGTACGTTACAAAATGATCACTACAATATATCTAGTACCCATCTGTTGCCAAATGAAGTTATTACGATATTAAGGACTATATTCCCCATGCTATACATCACATCCCCATGATTTATTTATTCTTTAACTGAAGTTTGTGACCTCTTATTCCTCTTTACCTGTTTCACCCACCTGGCCATTCCCCTCCCCTCTGTCAACCACCAGTTTGTTCTCTATGTCTATGAGTCTATTTCTGTTTTGTTCAAATAACTTGCTTTTTAAATGGCCCATTTTGCATCAATTTCTCAGTTGGTGAGCAAGTTATCAAGATAATACTCATCAAAATGTTTAACTAGGGTTTATTTTTAAGCAGCATAAACAAGTATAGATTGTATATTTAGTACACATGAAAAGCAAATAACTTTCCCAAAAGCAAAAATCGTATTAAAAGATTCCAAAGAAATTGGTATTTAAGTTGTATCAATTTAAATAAATTAAACATTTATTCTTAATTTTCAATTACAACACAACCTTTATTATTCCAGAAAATACAATCAAACCAACAGTATTATGAGGATAGTTGTAATTACAACTTCTGACAACAGTGGCACACGTTTTAGCCATCTCAAATTGCTCTCTATTACTTCTAATTTTATAAAAGTTATCTACAGCCCTGGCCGATGTGGCTCAGTGGATTGAGCATAGGCCTGCAAACTGAAGAATCACTGGTTTGATTCCCAATTGGGGCACATGTCTGGGTTGCAGATCAGGTCCCCAGTTGGGGGTGTGCAAGAGGCAACCAGTCAATGTTTCTCTTCCTCTCTTCCTCCCTCTTTCCCCTCTCTCTAAAAATAAATAAAATCTTTTTTAAACAGTTATCTTTGACTTCCAGCCAAGATCGAGGTGTAGGTAGATACACTTTGCC